GCAGTCATTCATTTTAGGGAGCTGAAAGAGCCTTGAGGGCTTTCGGGTGAGAGAAATGGAAACTGAAAAGCACAGAGACAGTTGGAGTAGAAGAGATTAATGGTGGGAAGTTCCCACCCAAGTGAGGCTTTGGCAGGATATGACACACAGACTGAGCTCTTCAATCAAGGTGGTGCCAAGTGGCTTGCTCTCTCTGGGCCAAATTGCCCTTACCTTTTGTGCACATTATTTCCTTGCAAGGGGGATGGAAGCAGCACGTTTGCACTTGCTAGGTTTCGTCTCCACCCCTTCATGGAAAAAAAGGGAGGGAAGGGGTTGGTTGGCTTGGAAAAACAACTGGATCTGCTCGCAGTGGCTAGGTAGATTTCAGAAAAGCCAGCCAGTCATGGAGCTCTGTGCTTTCCCATTGCTTTGGAACTCAGCTCGCATGGATGAGTTACTGTCTCAGGCACGTCCTTCCATCCTGAGTCCCGCACAAGGAGTGGTTCTTCATTCACAGAGGATGACATGAGGAGCAGCTGTCCTACATCTTGCTGCTGTGAGGAACGTGATGGCTATTTGGGCATCATGGCACTAGAAGGGGACTGGTACTACAGAAGGGACCGAGGGGGGGATCTGGAGCTCTACCTCAAGGCTTAATCTGAAGACCTTTGTTTTTTATTTTTAATTTTATATGATGCCTGATCCAGATGTCCTCCCAAAACAGCTTTCGGCTGCAGAGTATGTTCGTTCTTGTGTAGGCTGTCTGCGTGTATTTTTATGGCAGAATTGGCCTTTCATACCTTGAAAATACACTGTTATTGGCAGAGTGCATACAGCGAGCTCTTTGCAGAATATCAACAGTATAAATTACTCGTGATGGCCAGTTGTTGTGATTGCCTCAAGGTTTATTGTTCTTTTGCTACTGTTTAGGTCTTTGGAAGTCATTGCTGGTTTGGAAAGTAACAGCAAGATCTTCACTGTCTACGTGCATGGCTTGCTGCAGCTGCAGGTAGGGCTCTGCAGGCTGGGAATCATTTATGGTCAGTCTGGAGTTATTTACTGCTAAGTCTGAATTCTCACCAGGAGGTGGGAAAGTTATTAACCTTCTCAATTAGGTTAATTGAAGCTAAATGACATCCCCAGGGTGGCTGTAGAGAATTGGTGGCAGGGAAGGTGGTGGCTATTGGTGGCATTGAGGAACACGGTCAGTGGGCACGGTGGGGGTGGGCTGGGGTTGGACTGGATGATCTCAGCAGTCTTTTCTGACCTTTACGATTCTATGACTTTTCCTTTCCTTCTTGCTCACTCTGCAGGCTGGCCAGTACACCTCCATCTTTGTGGACAACAGTGCTGGAGCTCCCATCACCATTCAGAATGGATCCGATTTCATGGGCATGTTAATGGGCGCGTAGCATCATCTGCAGCACTGCAGCAGGGAAGAACACGAATCACAGCCTTACAGCATATATTTGACTGAAGAAACCTTTACTTTGTCTCTTGACGACTGCTTCATGTAACTGCTGGCGTCTTTTTAAACAAGCAAAGAGCCTTTCCTTTTGCAGATTCTTCAGCTTGCTTTCAGAGGCTACTGCTTCTCAAGGTCCACACCAGTTCATTCACCTTATAAAAAAAAGAAATACACTTTTATAACTCAGAAACAGACTCTGTAATATTTAATATGTGCTTCACCAGATGTGCACCGAACAGCACACTGAGATCTGGCATTTGCTGTAACTTTATTTCACATGATTACACCTGTAATCAGCATGTCTTTGGGACTGACTGCGGGGTGTTTTAAGTTTGTAAATGAAGGATTGAGATGGGAAGTAAAGTAGTGACTGCGTTCCATGTGTTGTGGAGGAAGGAGACAAGAATTTGCCAGCAAAACTGTTTTTCACACAGTTGTCAATGGTGCAGGGCCCTCGTGTTCAAACTTAGATACGTTTGACAAGCAGCATGTCGAATTCTCAAGCAGTGCCTGCTTTCAAAGATGGGAATCCAAGGGTTGAACCGTTTAACGGTGGTTCCCTCAATCTAAGTATGTTTCTCTGCTCTTACTGAGGAAGCCAAATACCTCGCTGCCTGCACAGTTTTATTTTCATGAAAACGTGAGGCCAACGGCACCAGTTCTGGCACGAACTCCCTCAGTTATGTTCTTATGTTTTAGTAAGATATATATTTGGCTCTGGACTGCATCACTTACACAGCATCCTCTCAGGTGTCATTTATCCATTTGTAGATCTGTCTGATGTGTTTTGCTGGCTGTGGGTGTTGTCATTTCATTGGGCTTTTCCCTTCAACAGACACTTGGCCTTTTAATGATGCAACTTAATTAAGGAAATGGCTGATCGGCAGTTTCATAAATAGATGGCAGCGGGGCCCCACGTGGAGTCCAGATACTTTTCTTGAATGGAAGATATCCCTCATTTGATGTTTCGATTTTTCCATGATCCATTACAACACCTTCATAAAATGAGAACCAAGACTGCTGGGGACAGCAGAAGGCGTGAAAAAATGAGCCAGCAGTGAATGTTGGGGCTTCACAGTGTGCAACTCACATGAAGATCATTAAACCCTACCAGCGAGGATTGGCTGTTGATGTTGGGTTTCGGTGGGGTAGGTGTAGTCAGGGCACATGGCCTGTATCCCAGTATGTATTACTATACTGTACTTCTACTGCGTGAATATTTGTAATAAATTGGGCTATTTTGTGCACGACTTGCAGCAGCAGAATCTCCAGGTGTTGTTGCATTCAGTTTTATGTCGTTACCTATGGGTTTTTTGAACCAAGTCTCACTGTTGGTAAATCAGAGGTAAAATATTTATTTTGTTGTAGAACTAAAAAAAAAAAAAAAAGAAATTGTAAGATTTTGCTTTGGGATTTGCGACTTTTTTTTTTTTTTTTTTTTTTTTTTCCTGTTTGTTGTGTTTTATTCCTGTGATCTCAATAGCAGATGAATTGTTGTGTCTTTATTTCTACCTGTTCTGCCTCTGGTTGATGAGTTGATGGTTGGACTTTGTGATATTAGAAGTCTTTTTCAACCTTATTAGTTGGAAAACATCGCCTTGTTAAGAATATTTTAGCTCTGGATGCTACCAGGCATGGAGGGAGGTGCCCAGTGGGCATGGTGGGGATGGGTTGATGTTGGACGTGGGGATCCTAGTGGTCTTTTCCAACCTTTGTGATTCCATACAGGCTGCAGTTCTCTTGACTCATGGAGATGCAGCCATCGGTGCAAGCGTGAGGCTGTTCCTCCAGCAGCACGATGGGCAGGATGGGTTGAAACAGCCAGGAATCAGCTGGGCCTGACCTCCACTGTTCAGGTGCAAGTGTACCAAACTCAGAACTCAGCTGGGCACAAGGTTCCTGGCTGAGCTGTGGGTGACACCAATGCTCTGCAAGGCTTTTGTGCTGTTTGGAGGCTGAGGAGATTGATTAATGATGTGAGAAGTGAGGTTTCAGTGCTCCTCTGTTTGTAGCCATAAAATTTATAGTCCAAGAAAATACGACGACTCAGAAGGGACTGAGTTCAGTATGAGCAAGTTGTTTGTAACAAAATAAAACCCGTGCGCTTGAGACTGTGGTTTAATGGCCAAGTGAGCTAATCTCACCCAATGGGAATGGCAGTTTGTGGCAGGCACAGGGAGAAATCTGAGAGAGACAAATTAAATTCTAAAAAGTCACGTAGTGAATATGGCCACTGAGATGTTGACATCTTCAGCCTGGCCTTTGTGTGGGACCCATGAAGAGTCTCTCAGAGAAGAAGCTTGCTTACTTGTATTTCGGAGCAATAAACCAAGCCATCTTAGGAGAAGCATCGACTGCTAATTTTGACGTCTATAAAAGTGATTATTTCCACTCATAATTCCTTATTCTAAACAGAGTCTAGCTAAAAGTTTCCAGCTTCGGGCTAAAGTTACTTAGCAAGGCGGTTTAGTGGGTAGGTGGATGGTTGGACTGGATGATCTTTTCCAATCTTAGTGATTTTATGGTAAATATCACAGCCTCGTGCTTCTGGGACATGCCTCTGGCTTAAGGGTGAAGGTTAGGCAGGGTTGCTAGCAGGCTTCTTTAGCTCCTTTTTGTGTTGGGTGCCCTCCCCAACCCTGCTGTTTTCATGGCTCCTGCATTCACTCCGATGCACTGTGCTGCATCAGCCCTTCACACCTGGAACCTGCAGGGATTCAACCTCTCTGATTAACTCACACAAAGCAGCCCTTGGGCAGGCTGGGGTGGGGGAGCTGAGCAAAGCCCCTCTCTGCTCGCTGCAGACAAATAAAAGCAAGGAGACCCGGGCTGTGATGATTTTCCCTGGCTGGGAGCTGACAGGTTATGAGGTTTTAAGCTCTATTCAAATTTCCACTTTTGTAAATGATTTTGATGCTCCGCTCCAGACTGACTCCAGGGGTATTTATGTCGGATTAGCAATGGATTGCCTGCTTTTCCTCACGCAGTAGAAGAGGGCCCAGCAGATGTAAACTCCCCCTGAATGGAAGCCTATTAATGCTGGAGCAAAACGATTCGTTTGCCATATAAAACTCCCGTTATAAATAAGTGCAGGTTATAAATCATCAACAGAAAGAGAGAGCCTGCACCTAGGGGCGAATGGAGGAATGCTCAAAGGCAATTTGAAAGCCATTCTGAATGGGTGACGGTAGCAAAAATAAAATAAAATAACTCCATACAGCTATTCATACCATTTGAAGTGTTAAAATTAACACCAGGTACTTCAGCTTTGTTACTAGGGTGACAGAGAAAGCTGTAACAGCCTCTGTTGTGGTTCCATAGAAAGCCAGGGGGGTGGTGATTGTCAAATTAGAGTTCACTAATTACACAGCTGATTCTGGTTCAGTAATTGTTCTTAATGGTTAAGCCAGGCTGGTATCAATGCAGACTGAAGGCCATGACTCGAGGACTTCAGGTGCACCAAATTTTGTGCAGAAGAGCCAATTTCCTGCTGTTTTCTAGGACCCAGTAGTTGGTAACTAGGCATTCAGAGCTGAAGCCCTATAGGATGGAGGGTTTGCATCTGCAGGTTAGTGGACAGCAAAGCTCTTGGTTACTGCTCAGATGGCCTCTATCTCTTGGAAGTGGTATTGTGTTCTTATTTTCTCTGTGCCAAGCCCGTCTGATTTAAAATAACATTATGGGTTTCTTGGTAGCCCTGAGAGAAGATGAGTGAGGGTCTTTAGTAGGCTCCAGCACCTCATTTGCTGGGCTAACACAAGGTTAATGGGTGCTGGAGCTCACCCTGGTTCCCTCTGGGTATCACTTGGTATCCTTGTACACTAATAGGAACGTTATTCTTTGTGAAGAACTCAATTATAAGCTTGATTATTTCCTGCTAAAAGAGTGTGAGAGCGTTGGTTTCCTCCTGCTGCTGAGAAGGACGTGGCTTTGAAGGAATTAGAGGACCTCAGGCCTTGGGTATTGGCACTGAAGGATCTCGGCTCCCTCTTCTCAGAGAAGGGGTCATCAGCCTTCCTGAAACTTGATTGATGAAAATCAGCTGAAAATCTCCCCCGGTGGTGGTGGGATGTCTGTTCTAAGCCTTTCTGGGTGCTATCTGGATAACTTCCATTGTCTGGGTGTTTTTTTCCCCCTGTATTTTCTTGCTGCCTTTGTGCTGCCAGAGGTGCTCCTCCATCGAAGGTGACCTCAGAGGATGGTATTTCCAGTTTCAACCACAGGCAGGAGCTACTGGAAATGTCATCTCTCTGAAGATTCCAGTCCTGCTTTGCTGTTTTCTGTGGTTTGGATAAATCAATGTGGATGGATCCTCACCTGGGCTACACCAGTAGTGTTCCACTAAGAGCAGGGGCCATACAGAAGTGCTGGATTGGGATAGCTTATTGCTGGCTCCTAGCCTTGTCGTTACCTTAATTCAGAGAATCTGTAACTGGAATTTCAGGCTCCTACCTCTTTGATCTCTTTCTCACTCCCTTGTGTTGTTGTGATTAATGACAGACTGTTTGAAAAATGCTGTGGTGTCTGACTAACGCAGTCAGAGGGGTGTGCAGGGTTCCTTATTTCCTCCCACTGCAGACCTGCAGAGTGACTGGGGAAGAGTTTATTTTCCACTTTGCTTTGCCAGAGCTTCTGAGTGCCTGGGGAGAGGAAGGGGTTAAATTCTCTGCTGCGTTAACAGGAACGTTTAAATCAATTAACGAAAAAAGATCCAAAGAAAAGAAGCAAAAGTATGTGTGGCATCCAAATCCAGCACATGAAAACCCCATTTTGTAATAGAATATATAATGTTGCTTAGTTGGGGGAAAGAAAGATGGACAGGATGCGTGTTGTTTGATAGCAAACCTCATACTTCTGGGGGTGCTCTTCTCTGTTGAATGAGATGTTGGTGGGATTCAGGAGCCCAAAGCAGTGCTGATTATTTGCATGGAAAGCATCCCTGCAGCCTGATATTTATGGATTGGGCTGTGCTGATGTATTTATTCTTTCCTGTGAAGCAAAGTGATACAAAAAGACGGTGAGGATGTTGGACAGTGGCACTAGACACCTCAGCGCTGCATCTCCAGGCTCAGTGGGTTACATTCTTCTTTTCTTTCTCCTCAATTTAAGCAAATAGGAGCTGGAGCCTTAAGGTTTATTAGAGAGCAATAGGGATCTTGGCTGATAACAGTGCTCTGGGCTGTGTGTGAGGAAGCTGGTAGCTTAACCCCCGCAACGGACAGGATCTGATAACAGGGCTGGGTGGGTGGGGGGGGGGGGGGCAAGAATTGTGTCCTGATGTCCACCTTTTATCAGTTGGAGGCTGAACCTCAGCCTGCAAGGGTTGTGCTAGGGAAGGAATCTGTAAAAGCTGATGTCTGAGGCCTTCACCTTGCTGCCCAGCATAGTAGGTGCGTGTTGCGTGAGAATGGCAAAGGTCTCCATCAGGAAGTTGCTCTTTGGAAAGCTCTCAGTCCTCTCTTATCACTGTGTCTGAAAACGAATATTATTCAACCAGCTCAAAGCCCAGGGGATTATTGCACCTGCTGTGATCTTTGAACTTGCTAGCACAATGTCAGTGAGCCTGCAGAGATTGACAGCTCCTCTCCTGCACTGGTAAGGACGAAGGCATGAGCTGAGATGTTGCATCTTCTCTGGATGGTGGGTGCTGGTGTGTGAGGCGGCAATAAGGAGCCCACATCTCTCCTGCTGGGCACTTCTCATGTCTGTCTGATATGGCAGGAGGGGAAAGCTGATAATGAAAGGCTGGGAGAGCTCCTTTGCTTGTCTGTACTTGTAACTGAAGCAAGCCAAGTGCCAGAGTAGCTTTCTAGCATTGCTTGCCCATGGGGCTGTGGTCAGCTCTGCCTGAGCAGCAGGAGTTCTTGCTTCCTCCATGGGCTGCATGGAGCCATGCTAGAGAGCACAAGCAAAAAAGTAATTCCCTTCCAGCCCTGTGGTCATTCCTGCCGTTTTTGTGCTTGTGAAGTTGAAGCCTTTACGCTCTCATGCCTTCATTTCAGCTCAGCCTTTACCCTTTGCTTTAGGTTAGAAGCTGCGGAGGCCGATGGGGGCCGTGCCAGGTCCCAGTGAGAAGTCTAAACACTGAGAAATATTTACATTGTTAAGTAACTTCAGTGTTAATATAGCATTACAGAAAGGTGGTGCCTTCCTGAAACTGCTGCAAGAGACAAAACAAGTGGATGAATGGATATATCATGTATTATAGTACACATTGGTGGTGTCGTGTGTTACTTGATAATGTTACATCAAGGTAATGTTCAGTATCAGAATAACCTGATGCTGGGTTGTGGAGCTCTGCTTTATACTGGGTGCAATGGGCTGCCAGGCTGCTATGGGTAGGGGGAAGGAATGGGTTTGGGGTGCTCTGCCATTGAGAATGATGCTAAAGGAGGGGTGCAGTGCAGGAGGGATTCCATGGGGTGCGTCAGGAAAGTGGAGGGGGGAAAAAAAGTAATTAAAAAAAAGAAGTATATAGCAAATCAGTGTCTACAAAGAAGCCCTGGAGGACAAGGATGGGAACGGAGTTGGGCAACGCAACAAATGGATCATTTTTCATCACGATCTCATAACTGCTGTCTTGTTCCCAGTCTGCTCTTGTGACAGACTGTGCAATGCCCAGTGGGGACACTTCTGGGACACGATGCTGAGAGCCAGAATGTCGTTCTGGGGAGCGATGCTAGGCAAACTGGAGCCACGGAGTCAAGTCTGGATCCAAAGTACGTTTTGTTTTTTTTAAAAAAAAAAAAAAAAAAAAAAAATAAAAAAAAAAAAAATCCTTTTATTTTGGCTCCAGAAGCCCAGAGCCAGGAATGTAAATTGGCTTAGCAGAAGTATGTTAATTTTGGTGCCTGAGTTTTATTCAATATCATGTCTGTCTGGCACCCACACAGCAGGTGGCTGTAGGGTGCAGGTTAGGATGCTCCTCTGTAGAAGCATGCCATCCTCCTTTAGGCAGCAGGCTGGTACCTCAGTCCTCAGCCATCACAGTGAGCAGGAGTTGAGTGAAGCAGACAAACCTTCTTACGTACTTGGGGGTTTGTTGTAGGAAAAAAGGACAGATGTCGGAGCAGAGCAGTTTGGAACATCAACCACAGCCAAGGGAAGGGCAGGAGAATCTCAGTGCTGATATGGATGATAAGAATCTTAGCATCTTTCCGTCCACCTAGGTCAGATTTGACATGTTGAATGGGAAGGTCTGGGTGGGATGGGATCAAGGTTGAATCACTCAGTGCTCCAAGCTGCCCCCAGGCTTGGAAAGGTGAAGAAGGACTTTCTCTCAGATTCCCATGGAAAGGAGTGTGCTCCTGCCCTGCCCTCAACTGTTAGCAGCTGAGCATCAATTGTTTTCATGATGGCATGAGGATCTGCACTCTCCCCTGCCCTTCCAGGGTCAGATTTGACAGCAGCCTCCTGTGGGAAGATTGCACAAAATTCCTTGCTGGAAGATATGATTAAGCAGCAACAGTTAAACAGCCTCCTGGTGGTTCAGAAAAACCTAGCTGCTAATCAGGCTCTGACCTTGCTGCACTAACACAGGCTGATTGTTTTAATTAACTCAAGGTGACAGTAATTGACAGTATTTCAAGGGAAAGGCTGGTCTGTCCATGCTGAAGATGCCCCTTCAAGTATCTTTGCAAATAAAGCTGTGAAAAGGAGGCTTAAACAAGAGGGAGGTATCTTGCATCTGACATCCTCCATCCTGGGCACTGCAGAACTTGCAAGGGTTGCTCTGCTCTTGCATCCCCAAATCTCCTGCAATTCCTCAGCCCTGGAGCTGCTCTGCATTCCCACTTGAGCTCATTCTCCACCTCTTGGTGGACGTTCTGCCCCACTGCTGCTATGGGGAGTCAGGCAGACCCACCTGCTGCTCACAGGTGAAACACGCTCTCCTTTTGGGATGGTAACGTGAGATGTGGTGGAAAGGAATGGTGACATTACATTGGAAGAATGTTTCTTTTAGCTGGGAGCAATGTTTCTGTGCTTTGTTTTGCTTTAAGCAGACACAGCCCCGAGTGATGGCTTTTAATGCGATGCGGAGCAGCGTGGAGAATTAGGGAGATTAAAAAAAGCAGGATGTAGCTTGGCAGAGAGAAGCAGGAATGGGGCAATGGGGTTTGCAAGGAGATGGGTGAAGTGCTCTGTGTTTGGCTGGCAGGGTTTGGGAGGGTCGTGGTTGCCCATAAAATGCATCTGGAGTTGTATGGAGTTTCATGATGCTGGTGGGAAGCAGGATGGAACCACCTCACTCCAAATGCAATCATTTTAAAGTGGGGAAAGATCTCTGAGCTTATCTAGTACAACTGTCCACCTATAGCCAGCGTTGCCCTCTGACCAAGTCCTAAATACCACATCTACACCTTTCTTGAATGAGTAATAAATTGTTTACCACATGCTAGATAAAGCTGCATTGAGCCACACCGGGCAGGAGACTGCGTGCAGAGTAGGTACAAAGCCAGGAGCTGCAAAAAAAGGTGAGGAAGAGGCTGAGAGGGGACTGTGTATGGAGACAGAGAGGCTGGTGATTAACCCACGGAATGCACAGAGGGGACAGAGCAAGAGGAAACC